GAGAACAAACTGAATGGCTGACACAGATATATTGCTTGGCAAGTATATTTCTAATAGTAAATAAATAAATTGGTATTTTAATTTATCAGCCAGTCAGTGTTTTAAGAGATTGGTTAATACAAATAAGCCCCCTAGAATGAAGTCACTTCTCTCAGCGATGACAATTCAAGTTCCCACACGTGCTCAGCCGAGCAGGTCTCCAGCGGCCCCAGCGCGGGCAGCCTCCAAGGTCCTCCGGGAAGCCAGCTGGCTGGCAGGTTGGCCTCTCTTTAGCATCATTTAAACTGCAACAAGCAGAACAGTAGGCTTTGAGGAGTGAGGACACGGAATGGCCTCCAGGGACCAAGAAACTGGATGTTCACAGATCCAGCTTCTAATTGCAAAGCAGCTAATGGTAGAGCATCTAATTGAGAGGGAGCATTTGAACAAAGAGTGGAAATAACCCCGACACCATTCAGCACGGAATGAGACCCGGGCCTCTTAATGAACAACTCCTTCCCACAAAAATAGCAGGTCTGCGGCGCTGCATAAAGGTGCTGGCAATGGGGCGTGTGCACATTACTGTGACAGGCAAACACAACATCAAGAAAACACTTAATCTTCCTGTTTATCCCCAGAAGGACTAATAACCAGAGTGAGAAGGAGAGCTGCATTCTTCTTCATTTAGAAACGAGCTCCCACTAATGCCTGGCTCTCCAAGTTTATAGACCAAATACCTGCTCGCACTAAAACTGCCAAATATTATAAACCTCACGGAGGAAGTGAATCCATCACGTTCTCGCTCCCTTAAGAACAGTTTTACCCTGGAGTACATAACCCATTACTGCATATCTTGTAGAAATCAAATGCAGACTCTATCTTCCACCACAGAACAAATCGGTTTTGCAGAAAAATGCGCAAATCATGACATTTTGTTTTTCTTCCACTTTAAGGCTTTTATTTCATTATGGTTATTGTTTTCTTCTTTTTCTTTGTTTTCAGACAGCAATTCCTAAGGCATCACTATACTTGGATTTGAGCCAGAGCTAAGGAGGACACTCCATTCCCCACTTCCTCTCTAGCCACAGGGATGATGCAAGGCCCACTCCAGGCCATAATGAGAAGCAGATTGAGGAGACTGCAAACCCCAGTGATTTACCTTGAATCCTTTTCTGACTCTGTCTCCCACTGTTTCCTACAGGTTCCTGATCTGATCCCTCCAATCAGGAGAAATTTCTCTGTGATGTCACTAGCACTGTCAGTCACCAGACTTGTTCTTTGGGTTCAGGGATTTATTATTCACCCTGCACTCCTAGGGCTGGTGCTGAGTGTGACACATGGTAAGCCATCAACGAATACTTGGAGATGCCAGGCACGATAGCTCACACCTGGAATCCCAGCACTTTGGGAGGCTGAGGCCTGGATCACTTGTGCTCAGGAGTTCAAGACCAGCCTGGCCACATGGTGAAACCCCGCCTCTACAAAAAAATTAAAATAAAAAAAGTAGCCGGGCCTGGTGGCACATGCCTGTAATCCTAGCTACTCGGGAGACTGAGGCAGGAGAATCGCTTGAACCCAGGAGGCAGAGGTTGCTGTGAGCCAAGATCATGCCACTGCACTCCAGCCTGGGTAATACAGCAAAACTGTCTCAAAAAAGAAAGAAAGAGAGAGAGAGAGAGAGAGAGAGGGAGGAAAGAAGGAAGGAAGGAAGGGAGGAGGGAAGGAAGGAAGGAAGGAAGGAAGGAAGGAAGGAAGGAAGGAAGGAAGGAAAGAAAATCTATATGTGAATGAAAGAATGAACTAAATATATTTAAGGAGGACTAACAAGGCTGACCCTAATGCTGGATTTTAAGGAAATTCATATTTGTTGAATGCCTACTGTGTATCAGTGATAGACAAGGCACTTAAAATCTCATTTAATTCCAACACCCTCCATATCGTATTACAAGTTCACCACTTTCTGTATATATCTGGGCTTGCCTCTAGGAAGACAAGCTGATATTGAGCTATTTTTATAAGAAATTAGAAGTACAAAGAATGTCTTTAAGAAATAAAGATCTCAGTAGTTTCTTGAGTCTACCTCTTCTTTGTATTAGGTCTTATCAATGCCCAACCAGATATCTCTATCACTATCTATCTTCTATCTATCTATTCATCTATCATTATCTATCTACTTTTTTTTTTTTTTTTTTTTTTGAGACAGAGTATCTCTCTGTTGCCCAGGCTGGAGTGCAGTGTTAAAATCTCAGCTGACTGCAACCTCCACCTCATGAGGTCAAGAGATTCTCCTGCCTCAGCCTCTCATGTAGCTGGGACTACAGGTGCGTGCCACCACACCTGGATAAATGTTTTGTTTTATATTTTTATTAATAGTAGAGATGGGGTTTCACTATGTTGGTCAGGCTGGTCTCAAACTTCTGACTTCAAGTGTGATCCACCACCTCAGCATCCCAAAGTGCTAAGATTATAGATATGAGCCACCACTCTCAGCCTATCTTTTTTTTTTAAAGGTAAGTTCTATAGGGAAGGAAGGAGTCAAAAGCCATGTTTTATCAGGGAAAACTTCTATACACTTAAAGAATCTGAGAGTTGGTGGCAGAAAAAAATTTAAAAATAATTTTAAAAAGAGAATATTTTAAATACCTAGAGCTCATTACGGTACTTAAAGTAATATAGAAAGATCAGAGATGCTTAGAGTCAGGAAAGCAATGCAATACAACTAGGAAAATGATGCTATATGCAGTTTAATCTCTGAGCATGCACAAGTACTTCAAGTTTCTGCAGTACTTAGGGACACTGCCAGGGAAGTCACAAAACTGACATTATCTTCAGAATGGTCCTTTAAGTCAAGGTGATCTCATTCTGTTCTGATGTATCCCTCCTAATGAACAACCTTAATTATCTTTTTCTCTTAAAGAGCGAGTTTGGGGAGAAGGTATTATCTTGCTCTTCTGGTTGGTTAAATGTGGATAAACAAGAATTCATAATGCTTTACTTCAATAAACAAACAATGCATCATGGGCTGAAGGCCCTGTAGGCACGGTGCAGCCCTTTCTCAGGCCAAGTTTTGTCAGGTGGACATCTTACAGTCTCATTTCCAATTTTCCAACCTTTGGAAAGCCATACTTGTTTTCAAGAATAGTAGCTTGTCTTCTTCTAATTTTCCTTCCCTTGTCACATTCAGGATGCTACAATGTTAAGCCGGGCCTTATTAGAGTCTCTGACGGAGAACTTCTTGAGTTCATGGCTGAGCAGTGGGAACCTGGCAATTGTGACTGAAACCTCACGTAAGACAAACCATCATCCCTCACTCCCATAGTTCTCTGAAGCATAGCTGAGCTTTGCTCATTTCAGCTCAAGAAAGAGAACCTGATGTGCATAAGAAACTTTTTACATATTTGTTTTCAAAGGAATTACTCAAAACCTGCCTACTATTTGCAGTTTATGAGTAATTAGCCATTTTAATGATATCAAAAACTCATGGTCAGCCAGGCTCAGTGGCTCATGCCTGTAATCTAAGCACTTTGACAGGCTAAGGTATGCAGATGGCTTGAGCCTGGAAGTTTGAGACCAGCCTGGGCAACATGGTGAAAACCTGTCTCAAAAAAAAAAAAAAATTAGCTGGGCACGGTGGTGCATATCTATAGTCCCAGCTACTTGGGAGGCTGAGGCACAAGGACCACTTGAGCCCAGGTGGTGGAGGCTGCAGTAAGCCAGAATTGTGCCACTGTACCAGCCTGGGCAACAGTGAGACCCTATACCACAAAAAAGAAAAAAACAACAACTCACTGTCAAGCAAAGTTAAGATTATCCCCAAAGTAGCTGTTTAAATACAAGGTAATGTTAGGTTTTCAGCCGAGGTTCTTAGGAGAGCTTATGGAGCCATGTGCTGAGAACTTTAATCTGTCAGTTCAGATGGAAATGGAGCAATGGGAGCTTTCCTTCTTGAAATCTGTTCTCCTTCTTAATGTTATTACACAGACACCCAGAGATTCCATGGACCCCACTTCAAAATCTGCTTCACTATCTCATCATTTTCATGATTTTTTTTTTTTCCTCTCTTTTAAAATTTCTTTTGGCCAGGCATGGTGGCTCAGGCCTGTAATCCTGGCACTCTGGGAGGCTGAGGCAGGCAGATCATGAGGTCAAGAGATCAAGACCATCCTGGCCAACGTGGTAAAACCTCGTCTCTACTAAAAGTACAAAAATTAGCTGGATGTGGTGGTATGCACCTGCAGTCCCAGCTACTCGGAAGCTGAGGCAGCAGAATTACTTGAACCAGGGAGGCAGAGGTTGCAGTGAACCAAGACCACACCACTGCACTCCAACCTGGGTGACAGAGTGAGACTCCATCTCAAAAAAAATATATATATATTAAGAGACAGGGTCTCACTATCCCTCAGGCTGGAGTGCAGTGGCACAATCAGAGCTTGTGGCAGCCTAGAATTCCTGGGCTCAAGCGATTCTCCCACCTCAGCCTCCTGAGTAGCTGGGACTACATCCATGCACCTCCATGACCAGCTAGCTCATTTTATTTCATTTTTTGTAGAAATGGGGTCTCACCTTGTGGCCCAGGTTGGTATCAAATCCCTGGCTTCAAGTAATCCTTCTACCTTTGCCTCCCAAAGTGTTGGGATTATAGGCATGAGCCACCACACCCAGCCTTCGTTTTTGTTCTTTTTTTAATGCTAGATTGGATCCCCATTTACATCTTTGTGTCCATCTCTATCCTTTAAAATCTGAATCAGGAACAAATCTTTCATGGGCTAATCTTCACAGTTTTCTCCCAAATGTCTATCTTACCACATTAGATAGCTGACAAGATGGCCCCACTGTTCCTTAGAGCCTCAGACCTTCAAACTGGAAAAGCGCATAGACTCCATTGAACACAGCCCTCCTGTTTTACAGGTGAGGAGACCGAGGCCCAGCATAAAAGACGAAACAAGCTAGGAAAGGGAATGCCCCCTCCCTTCAGGTCTTCAGGGACCCTGTCTCACGTTTAGCAACCTATCCATCCAAACCTGCAGTTCTATCCATCCTAACTCAGGATTCCACAAATCAGAAATGTTCTTTGTGCCTTAAATAGAAGGTAAAGCTGAGTTGTGCAGTTTTATTTTGAGATGGAGTCTTGCTCTGTTGCCTAGGCTGGAGTTCAGTGGCACCATCTCGGCTGATTGCAACCTCCGCTTCCGGGGGTTCAATTAATTCTCTTGCCTCAGCCTCCCGAGTAGCTGAGCCTACAGGCATGTGCCACCACACCCAGCTAATTTTTATATTTTTGATAGAGACAGGGTTTCTCTGTATTGATCAGGCTGGTCTCAAACTCCTGACGTCAAGTGATCTTCCCACCTCAGCCTCCCAGATTGCTGGAATTACAGGCGTGAGCCACCACATCTGGCCTATTATGCAGTTTTAAATACCTTATTTCAATTATCTACTAATTCAGCATTTCAAGTATTGGTGGAATATTTAATGTGCCTATGTGAAGTCAGATTTCCTTTTCTAGAGCATTAGTATACTGTTGCTGTTTTTTGTATCTTTGAATGTTCTGTAAAAATTTCCCTGTCTCGTCTCCCATGTTCCCCTCTCTTTACCCGTCACACACTTGGTAGGTTCATAGTTTTACCCATGCCCTGTTCCCATGCGTCTCCTAGAGCCCATCAACAGCATTTGTTTTCATTGTAGATGCATCTTCTCCACTCTCACCCCACAACGCTTTGAAAAGGAACCCTATCCCTTCTGGAGGCTCCTTCTCCATCAACCCAAAATGACCTGATGTTTTTTAGACATGAATATGCCTCAAGGATGCCTTGAGAGTGAGCTATGTATACCTAATTCATGACTGAATGGTAATGAAGCTAGCAGACATCCCGAAGGCTTGTCAGAGACCTGGCAGCGCCCTCAGCTCCCTGCAGAGACTAACTCAGCTAACCTTTACATTTCAATCACAGCCTAAGTGCTAGTGTTATCTTCAGTTCACAGAGGGACATCTGAGGCTCGGGGGACACCAGAGTTGGAGGGAGTTTAAGTCGAGTGGCCCAGTGTGACTCAGCTAGAAGTAGCAGAGGCAGGATGTGAACCCACGCAGTCAGGCCCTCGGAGCCATGTTCTGACCACGACTGTCCTTTCCATACGTGCGGAGACAGACAAAGCATGGTGGGCTACTGCACCCAGCAGGCCAAGAAATAATGACATATCCACCCAGGTATTACTGAGAGGAAAACTCAGCAAATATTTAGGTCTGAGCATTTTTCAATTCTAACCATTTAAAAGCAACTTTCTTTCTATCAGCAGGAGAATCACAGATTTCTGTGCTGTCAACAGCAAAGGATTGGGTCATACATTTAAAACTTTAACCATTTTCTTTATGTTATAGAGGAAAAGGGGAGTTTTCTTACACTCATAGACATTTTCTCAGTGACTTAAAGAGTCTTACCTTAGGCACACAGATGGGCCTTAAGTCTACTAGAAGACTATTTTCTGAATAAGAAAATGCTCAAAGACTCAAAGACTGGTGCCTTACTCATTCTGGGCCCCACACGGCTTCTCATAAAACATTCTGCTTCTAAGTGAGTTGTGAAAATGGGACTCACAAAACGATGACAGAAATACTGCTTTAAAAACCTTTCCAGAAGGTTTCACGGAAATACAATAGAATATATGAGAAGAAAATGTCTGGTTCTTATTACAAAGGTGTAAAGGAAATGAGAGAGGATTACTTTTTACTGGAAACAGCCAGAAAGATTCACTTAAGACCATAATTTACTCATATACTCTGTTTTATTTAAAAATTGAAATAGTACTAAAATAATTTCAATAGAATTATGCAAGACACAACTAACATTAATTCTAGCAACTTATACTAGATAAAAAATAAGGACCTACTATGAGCTAGTAAGAGAGAAATTAAAGGAGCATTTTTATCATGAAATTTCAATCAAAGGAGAATAACAAGAAGACATCTCAGTCATGCAAACATTTGGAAAGTATACTCCCCGACCACGATTTCTGAAATTATTAAGGATGTACATCAACAAAACACATGGACAAATCCAATTAAAGAGGAAACTTACAAAGATATAACAAAGAGGGAAACCAGCCGAGCAGCGCAATGCAAACAAAGCCCACAGTGACAGATGGAAAGCAAACCCGTACACAGTCCACACGGCACCATTCAATCGTAGCATGGTGGAGAGGCCGTATCCTGGTGATAGGACAAATGAGGCCTATTTTTTCTAAAAACTGAAATAAGGAAAGGCCAATAAAACCTTTAAAGAAAACAAAAACGTTTGCAAGAAAGCCATGTACAGATACAAATAAGCCAACCGCTGCTTGATCGTGAGCATGTTAGAGAACAGGATGCATTTGACCTTGATGATTGTCCTTATGAGGACATGAAGTTAGTCACAGAGGATGACATGTCTTTCCTGCTGACCGATCACACTGCTCAGCTCTTCACTAAATACTCTTTGTTTAATTATACCACCACGGCTCTTATTTACAATTATAGGACCGAATGTAAATTACTAAACTTGACAACATAAAAATAGAGTTTATCCAGCTCAAATTGGGAAATACGGAGAAACAAGGTGCAGGAAAGTGTGGGAAGATAATTTATTCATCTCATCTAGTGAGAGGGAAGAGATACTATTAAAAAGTAGAGACTTCAGTGTATTATTTAATTATGAAGGCAACAAGTATAGAGGAATGTCCCACTAATAAATATTTCCCCTGACACTTCACATGACTTAAAATTCGTCATTTACTTCAAGTTCATATTATCTTAGAAAAATAAGTGTTCTGGCTGGGCACAGTGGCTCATGCCTGTAATCCCAACACTTTGAGACGCTGAGGCAGGAGGATCGCTAGAGCCTAGGAGTTCAAGACCAGCCAGGGCAACACAGAGAGACCCTGACTCTACAACGAATACAAAAAATAAGCTGGGTGTGGTGGCTCATGCCTGTAGTCCCAGCTACTTGGGAGGCTGAGGTGGGAAGATTACTTGAGTCCTGGAAGTCAAGGCTGCAGTGAGCCGTGATCACACCACTGCACTCCAGCCTGGACCACAGAGTGAGACCCTGTCTCAAAAGAAAAAAGAGAAGTATTCTGTCCCCTCTTCAGAGCATGATTCTCTCTCTGGTTAAGAATCCTCTAATTTCAAGAAGCTCCTCTTGATCATTCAGGGTGGGTCAAATGTAGAAGTTACCCCTGATCCTCTAATTTTTTTGTGACTAGCACAAGTACTGGGACATAAAACAGAGGGTTCTCAAATTATAACCATATTTCCTCACCATCAAAATCCTGCCATTTGGCTGATCAATCCCACCCCCCACACACAGAAGCATGCTATGGTCTAACTCCAAGACATCTTCCAAAGCCCATTTTGACTGGTGTCTGATACTTTTAAATGCAAGAGACAATCTGACATAAAGGAAAGATATGCATTTATGTGGTCAAACTGGGTTCAGTCCTGCCTCTTACCTCCTTCTCCGAGCATCAGACAAGCTGCTGAACCTATCCCAACTTGCGTTTCCCCATGGTTAATTAGAGGCATTGGTATCCATCCCACAAGGTTGTATTGATGATCAAATGAGACAGCAGAGTGCTCAGCGCACTGTAGATGTTACAACTTCCTTTCTTCCCTTCAATAGATTGAATTTATTGTGAGAACTACGAGGTGTTCTTAATATGCTTGTTCTTTTTTCTCCGTTTAAACATCCGTAGTTGTCAGTAGAACTATTGAGAAATGTTCTTTCATGTCTAAACGTCCATGATTCTATGACCAATACACTAATTAAAGAGCCACGCTAGTTCTGCCTCGCCCAGGTTAGAACAAAAAGTGGATTGCTGCTGCCACCTGGTGGCTGCAAGGTAACGTGAGGCAGCATTTCACGGAAGCTTGTGAGTGCTAAAACCCCAACCCCCATACACAATTAGAGGGAGCCTGGGGAAGGGAGGACGCCCCCACTTATTTTCTTTCTTATTTTTGGGGGGACAAGGTCTCGTTGTCACCAGGTTGGAGTGCAGTGGCACAATCTCGACTCACGGCAACCTGCAGCTCCCGGATTCAAGCGATTCTCGTGCCTCAGCCACCCGAGTAGCTGGAATTACAGGAGGCATCACCACACCTGGCTAATTTTTGTATCTTTAGTAGAGACGGTATCTCACTATGTTGCCCAAGCTGGTCTTGAACTCCTGGGCTCAAGCGATCCTCCTGCCTCAGCCTCTCAAAATACTAGGATTACAGGCATGAGCCACTGCACCGGCCAAGCCCAGTTATTTTCTAAACGACAGTGTCCGTGAGGGGTGAAGAATACACAAACAAAGATGGTTTGTTTCCATCTTTGGGAATGTAAATCAAAGTCCACACTGACCTTGGACAAAAATGTAAAGTTGGCAAATGTTGACTTCGAGGCTCTGAGATTCTTTCCTGCTCCTCTCCTCTCATGGCATTTACTCTACTTGTTCTTCCTCAGATAAGAAGCTGTTCAGAACATTTTTTTTGATAAAATGATTCACTCTAGGTATAAGTAACTAAGATCATTAATGGAAAGGCCATTAGGCTGAGGCGGCTCCGGGGCCCTGGTTTTCTACAGAAGCAAACTGAAACCCCAGTACCAATGGTCGTATTCTAGGAAAATGCAACTTCAGGTTTAAAACTCCGGAGCCGCCAGCTAACCCCTTTAAAGACCACTCCTGTTGCCCTGTTGGTGGAGCCTGGAGCCACCTGAAGCCTGATGCTGCCTGATGTATGAATCGTTTTCTCAAATAAACTCTTTAATATTTCAACGTGCCTCAGTTTATCTTTTAACATTAATGAGGTTTAATATGACTTCTCTCTGTAAGGTTTGTATTTTACTTTTTAAATATGAGAATTATGTATGTGTGATACATATTATAAAAGGTCTTCCTAGCAGCTATCCAGAATATTCATACAACTATTCCTTTTTATTGTTTAAAAAAGGCACATGCCAAATCACGCTGCCATGTGTGTACCTATGTGACAATCTTGCATGTTCTTCACATGTACCC